GGTGAAGGGGGGAATGGGAAATGGGAAATGGGAAATGGGGAATGGGGAATGGGGAATGGGGAATGGGGAAGCGGGAAAAAAAATGAAAGACGAAAACAAAGATAGAATTATGGTTAGGTTTTGAGAGCATTCATCATGTCTTTTTTTTTTCTTTCTTTTGTTACTTCATCTACATTAGGCTAATTGAACTTTCAATCAGTTGGCATATTTTCAACAAAGATGTATTTATTGGTGTTAAATAAAAAAAAAGAAGTTTTCAAATTGTTTTTGGAAGTTAGAGGGGCAACAAATCGATCAACACTTTTCTAGTTTGTGCAGTTTTTTTCTGGTATTTTGTAATAAGGTTTTTAAAAGCATTCATTATCTTTTATTTATCACCTTAAATTATTTTGCAACAAACAGTCTGTGGATGAACAATTTTTTGTCTGCTATTTTTTTTTTGTTGTCCAATAATTGAAAAAACAAAAAAACAAAGGCAAAACTGTTTTGCAGTGGTTTGCAGTCATTAGAAAGTAAATAAAAAAAAAATTTTTTTTAAATTTAACAAAAATTAACTGCAACTAATGATGCCTTCCTACCTGCAGTTGTTGCAGCGAAAAAAAAAAAAAAAAACCTTTAACAATATATTTTATTTTCTTAAAATTTTAAAACCAAATACTTTATTGTCTTTTTTTTTTTTTTCAAGAAATAAATCAGCTTTAGAGAAAAATATTCGGGAAACCACAAATGTTACTGAAACATAAACTTGGCTGCAACAAAAAAATTTAGTTCAATAACAACAACAACAACAACAGAAGAAAAAAAAAGAAAAAATGCTGAAATACAAATGCTAAATGCATCTTTTTTTTAAATCCTCTTCCTTTATTACATATATTGAACAATTGACGAACACAGAAAGAAATATCAACAACCACAAAATATTTTATATATTTGTCCAATATCCTATTTTTTTTTCCATAATTCCTTCAGTCTTAAATCTACAAAATTTATTCTTTTGACCTTCTATTTTTTTTTTTTGTCTTCTTGAAGGTTCCAAAACATACTATAATTAGCTTAACACTTAAGCGTAAAAGACAAGTTAACAGAATAAAAATTGATTTTGAAAGTAACACAGCGTTGATCAAATTAGGTCGTAAATACTGTGAACAAACAGTTGAACAGTGGTGATGACACTTAAAATGGTGGGAGAAGGCAGACAATTGTTAATAGCAACAACAATAACGCTTCCATCGGCAAGAAAAATGATCTAATTGGCTAACATTCCGCTATAAACTTATTGCTAATAAACAGCAATAAATGACAATAACGTCAAAATAGAATGAATTACTTATGCATGAACAACAGCAACATGAATGACAGTAGTTTCAACCGAAAGAAACAATTGTTCCTTGTTGTTAAAACTTTTAAAAAATTTACTTGTGACAATAACAATTTACAAAAAAAAAGAAAAAAAGTGAAAATAGAAAAGGAAATCCAACAAATGACGTTGTTAAACTTTGTTCCTACAGTAAATTCTCAGTTTTCTCCTTGTTCCTTCTGCCAAACACTCGACAACAATAAGTGGTGACAAAAGGCTTCAGAAATGAGGCCGTGCCAAACTACTGGGAGAACGAGACTGTTGTTCTGAAAAAAAAAAACTTCTAAGGGTGGGGTGCTATTGGGTATGCAAAACCTTTTTATAAGTTAGATCTGTTCATGAATTTCCAACAAACTGAAACTTCATTTTAAAAAAAGCACTAATTTTTTTTGTCCTCTGTTGCTCGTTCCTGTTTTTACTTTTCATTTTCTATTTTTCTGTCAGTGTTAAAAAAATAGACATTTTTCCTTATATTTCATAATTTTTAATGTTAGATGATACTTCACTGTGTTGATGGAGAAAAAAAATACATGTTTTCTTCTTCTATCAATACAACCAAAAATCGTTGAAAAACAAACAAAAGAGAAAGGCGAAGAAGAGAAGGTAAAAAAAGGTTATTGTTAAAGTTTTATGAAAACTTTCCCCTGTATAAGCAGACAAGGAAAAGAAGTGGAGTAAGAGAGGGTGGCATACGACCAACATTGTCGGAGAGTCTCATCCGATCAGCAAATGTGAAGTGCACGAAACTATAGGAGAAGCGCATAGAGGTGGAGAACTTTAAAAGAGTCTGTTCAAGTGACCCGATATAAGGAAATAGATCCTTGTTTTGGAAATATTTTTGCTCCCACAGTGAGAGAAAGCGTACCACTTTTTTAATAACGTATATATATTATTGATATCAGCAGCATTTTTGTTTGGCACTATTAAGTCAACTGTGGGTGTAAAAAATAAATGGTGTTCAATAAATATCTTTAAAGCGCTCGAATACTGTCACGTTAATTGAAAATTACTGGTTTCAATTTGTCGAATAGACAAAACTTAAGAGCAAAAAAAAAAAGAGAAAAAGTTATTAGTTTGTCACATTTTATGCAACAGACCTGTCAATGATACGCTTTTAAAATTGTCTGAACAATTTGTTTGTCAAAAGAAATACTCAAAGATGAGAACAATAAAGATGGTTAAACAGTGATAACTTAGCAGAAGGTTTAAAATACAGAAAAAAAAACAGTGTCATTTGAATAACAGTCCTGTGATAAATGAACTTTTAGCAGTTCCAATAAGGTACCAACGCTGTTACATTAGCACTCAGAAATTATATAACAGGTGCATAGAAGAGCTAAGCCATAACGCAGCATACTCAATGCTTCAAAGTTGTTTTTAAAAACCATTGCACCAATGTTAACAAAAAAAATTGTAGATGAAGATTGATTGGGCCGTATTGGTCTGAAATCTGCCATTTTATGATTCCTTTAAAAATGTTACCAGTCGAACGGCCATAAAAATCGTTGTTCAGGTATATTTGTAGATTCTGTCACGTAAAATAAATTTTTACAAAGTAACAGTAGTTGAAAAAAGAGTTGCCATATTTTAAGTGTAAATACTGCACCGTTATTTAATGACAAGTCAAATTTTGTATATATAATCAGAAAAAAGGTATACACGTCACGGTAATAAAACTAATATTATAAAACACATTATTTTTTTTCTTTTTTTTTAAATTAAACTTTATACATTATGCAATAGCAAGCAATAAATCTAATAAAAAAATTTATTTTTGACGACAAATTTATTCATCTACTTTTTAGCATTTTATTACAGGAGGTAGATGTTGAGTAAAATTTTTTTTATCTGCTTTAAACTGTCATTCTTTATAGATCTTTTTCAAATAATGGTGAAAAGAATAAAAGTACAAATTTGAACATCAAACAGTTCTTATTTTTCACTGTGATTAATGCCACAGCAACGCCAACAACTATAAAAATTGAAAATGAAACGACTTGTCTACGAAACATCTAAGGCAAAAACAATTAAAATAAGCTGACGTCTGTATAAAATAAAAAAAAAAGTTTGTATATGTCACATGTCAAAAAATTTGATGCTTTTTTGGAAGATATAGCTTCTAACTTTACTGTCTAGTAGTTTTTTCCTGACCTTATTTCAAGCAACATTCAGGCACTGTTCTGCGACAATCAGCTGGTTTTTTAGTCTTCAACGAACAGCACAGACAGATTGTTTGGTCAATTTTTTACCCTATAAAGTTTTTCTTCTTCATTCTCATCTATACTTTACAATTATTAATTAATTATGCTGCAAAGACCACCTAGTTTTCACACTTAAGTAAAGCAATATAAAAAACTAAAAAACTGCTGCAAAAGAAAAACCAAGTATTCTGATAGTAATGAAAAGCTAATAAACAATTTTTCCTCTCTTTTTAAATATGTTATATATATATATATATATATATAGTATTTATAGGTACTGTACCTCTATTCGTAAAAGCGCATTTTTTCAAAAAAATTATTTATTAGAATGCACATTTTGACTGTTCCAATAAAAAGTCTTTACAAAATAACATCATTTGGTGATTTTAAAGAAATTCAAGGTATTTGTGCATTTAATTAGCTTATTTATTTGAAATTCTTCAAAGCAACAATTTTTGTAGGTTGCATTTTGTGCTACCTTTACCAACTAAGTCAAAAAGAAACAGACGTTTCATCTGTCAAGGAAACCATCGTTATTTCCACAAACTATTCTTAACGTTTCACGAGTAAGCCAATTTCATTAACAAAAAAAAATTTAGACCTGTAATTTATGAAATTCGTTAAAGGCAAAATTGATTATTGTTCGAACGAGAGTGAATTCTTTGCAGCACAGAAAGGTTGAGGAGTTAGAAGAAAGACCAGTCCAGTGACTGAAAATTTAGCGATTCAGATGAGTAAAAAAATTTTTGCTTAAAATTGACCGCTCTTTTTCTATAGAATTAATGTACTCATTTCATGTTTCAGTTGACTTTAAACCTTTAAGTAAGTGAAAAGAATTGTTTTTTGTTACTTCCTTCTCATCTTAAAAATGATTATTTTGATTAAATTATCATTCAAATGTCACTATCAGTCGACTTCAAAATTTATTCAATTCCTTTCTCTTTTTACAAAATTAAAAGTGGCAAGTTGTATCAGATCGTCTTAGCGCTACAAATTGTTAACAGTAGTCAACCAATATGATAAAAAGTTGCCAAATCTGGGCAATGAAAGCTGTTTTTTGTTGAAGTAATTATTGCTAAAACTATCTGCAGACAGGTCAGAAAACTGCTTCTGTAAGAAATTTTAATGATCTTTTTGCTTCAGCTCGTAATGCTGATTCATTGCATGCATAACAAAGAAGTATTGCCAACCTATACTGTTACAAAGTCAACTACGCAGTTGAATATGCCAATGCTATCGGTAAAGCAACAACAGTAAATTTTAAGTAAAAACTATATGCATATGTTGTTGTAGAGAAATTTATCACTCTGCTACAGTATCTTATTTGAGAGTAGACTTCTTGCATTGACTCTATCAAATCACAATTACTTCAAGTACTGCGAACAATTTGTAATTGGCTTACAGTAATTATGACATGAAATCTCTTTTTCTTCCGGCAATTATTAGAATTCCCTTTTTGGTAAAATGAATGGTTCCTCATTGAGCACTTCAGGTTTCATTGTTGGTTTATTCCTCAGCATTTGTGTCAGAAGCAGATTTCTTCCAGTGACCGATTCATTACTCAATTGACGGTATTTGAAAAGTCGAGTTGGGGTTTCATAGCCAGTATTTTCCGCGTCGGAACAAAAGAAGTATCCTGGCTGATTTTTTGAGTCAAATATTTCTGGTGCTTCTTCTTCGATTATCTTCATCTTTTCACTGGTTCAGTAATACTTGACGTCGGTGCTGTAGTCGTCGTCAAGGAATGATTGTTTAATAATCATTTTTGTGCCGCTCTTCATGTCCTTACGTTAATTAGTTGTGTTTCT